GACAGACTTTTATTACTTGAAAACTGCAAGCACTTCTAAAGCCCTCCAAGCAAGATGCTGTTTGAAGAAACACTACAATAAAACAGCACCGCAGAAAGTTATAAAGTAAACGGGGAAAGAAAAAATGTTTTAGTGAAATGTCTTCACAAATATGAAAACTATAAAGCAGCAATAAATACTTCCATTCTGAAATATAGTAGCATAGCAATGTGACAGTTGGATTTCAACTAGCTAGTTTTAACTAGCAAGTGACCAGGATGATACCTGCCAGTTTTGATCAGTTACACAGTGTAAAACTATAAGCAGTCTGGATGCTCAGAATACGATAGCTTGAATAATTAAGTCAGGCAGCTACACTGGTTTACCTAATATACACAGAACACACTCACAAGAACAAACCTAATTTTGCTGATTCTGAGCCAAAGACAGCCGTGAAAAAAGGAGACAGATTTCTAGAAAGATTATGCATGTATTGTATAAAGAAGGCATACAGTATATAGTCAGCAGTTTAACAAGTGAATCCAATGCAATCACAAGAACAGCCAATACCCAGAACAAAAAGCATGATAATATTAAATTAAACTTAAATTAAACTCAATTAAACTTACAAAAACATACTAAAGTGAAGCATATTTGACATACTGAAGTAAAGTTCAAACATTTTAATTGTACAAAAGTGAAAAAAGCATTTATTTGCTAGTATAGTATAACTATGGCCCCAAAACCAAATACTTATTCCTGAATGCTATAATTAACAGAGTAGAATGCTCCAAATTGCCTGTATCATGTACAAACCTATGAAATCACATGCTAGAGAAGAAAAGATCATAGAGCCAGTAAATCCAGGAAATACACTGATCACAACCAATATGGCTCTATGTAAAAAACAAGTAGTGACAATGTAGTTTGTATCATTAACAAGTCTTGAGTCCTATCTGCAAACTCGTGCTCAACTATTCTAGCCTGGAAAGGCTTTTTTTAAAAGGTATCTCACGCAGATGTAACAGGACTGCCTTTTCATGTGGACGTATTGATCAGAAGCTCTGAAATCGCTATCACAGCATGTACAATTAAATCAAAGAGGATTGCTACCCGTCTGGTGACAATTACAAGAATCTTGCTGCGGTACATCGGAAAAAGCTCTAAGCGATATTGGAAATTACCCATCTTCTAAAAATACAACACTAATTGCTTAAACAAAGAATTTTGTTTGGAATACATACCAGTGTCCCTGCACTGTATTTGTAAATTCAACAGATAAAGAGCACGCAGAGGGGAATACAGAAAAATGTTTAGTGACTTTTTTTTGGTGAGTAGAGCTACTCCCTATTCTTATGCAATGCCTTGCCATAAGCAAAATGATTTCATTTTATAGGGTAACCTCCCTATTTTTGTGTTCATTTCAGAAATATTTAGGAAGTACCAAGGTTTGTCTGAATGCTCAGAGACTGACGCACAGAAAAACACTGACGTAGTAGGAAAACTAGGGCTATCTGCTTTCAATAACACATTTCTGTCATTACGATGTCAAATAAAGGGAGATGAGCAAAAATGTTTTGAGTAACTACATTCTGACAGTTAACAAGTTGCATCAATTGAGAGCAGTACAGAAAATCTCATGATTAGTTCACATACAATCATCTGGGACGTTGGAGTACACTGTTAAAAACTAGATCCATTGTAACCAGCAGCTTCCACTACATTCTGCAATAAATTCCAGATCCAAATTGACTTTGGATTTGAAGAAAGGATACTGTGTGTACAAGAGAATTACAAGTCAACAAAAATAGGAAGAGATTCTGTCCAAGATCCTAATCCAGATGCAATAGGTATACTTGATTTTGAAACAAATTCCAAATTCTGGAAAGATAGAAACCATCAATTCGCCTTCAGATAACCCCTTCAACATCTTTTCGAAATTTCACAGTAGGAGCAAAGCCATTTTTCAAAGACAAATATGGTCAAAGGCTTGTATGTCATTTTCATTTTTTCAATTGGGATAATCCATCAACTATTGCACCACTTTACCGGCCAGTTTAAGATCAACCACTGCAGAGAGGCAGAAACAAACACGATGAAGCAAGTGTTTCCAAGCAGCGGCACACCCACTGAGATCATTTTGTGCAACATGTATCTTACTGTTCCTGAAGAAACAAATTCTTGTCCGTGCAGCAGGATTATCATGACGATCTTCACTGGTTCATCAGCTATTGCAGGCTTGTGTCAAGGTGCTATATTCGCACCAGTACTGGTTTCACACATACGTACCCCCTCATCTCCCCCCACACAGTATTTCATACAGCCCTACATGAAATGTCATGCTGGCGCCTATGACATCTGTTCATAGGCGTTCCCTTCACTAGCTTTCATTTTAATTTCTATGCTTTTGTCATTTGAAAGTTCATTGCCAGGAGCCACAGTATTCAGCATATAAAAGTCAATAATGGGATCACTGGGTGTACTGATATAGGCCATGAGGGGGTGTGGCACTTTCAGATTGGCTGCCCGACAACCTATTACATTGCAGCATGACAATATAGAAAGGACTAACTAATGTAATACACACCTAGGAAAGACACCACAGTCAAATCACTGTATTCCAAATAAATAAAGTCAATATTATATTCATTGAAGTTAACTTTTCATTTTTACACAAAGCTTTTGATATATGAAGCCAATTTTGCATTCTACAGCTAACTTTTCCAAATCTTTCCATCGCAATAAACATTACAAATATTTGTGAGGAATTAGGGAATACGCTTCAAATACAAACTCTTTGGACTACTGCAAGACACAAATTCGTGAAGCACACAATCCACTACTAAGGCAGAAAAACTGCTGATGAAAGAGAGCATCCCCCACAATGAGCTTGCAAAGCTTCTTAAGTGAACCTCCACTGAGTCATTAATTAGCATCTTTTGCCATATCCATTTCATTAAGTTCAAATGTGATCTGAGCAGTGAAGAATACCGTTCATAGACAGGGTCTTCAGTATAATGAGGAGGGTCAAGACACATGAAAACACAAAGGGATAATATGAAGTCAGTCTGCTGAAGTCTTGCATTCAAGCAGAGACCTGAAATGAGCAATGGATAGCATTCTAAAAAGTCTGTGTTGCTGTGCTTTTTGCTAATGATTTAACTGCTTATAAAGGGCAGGTATCCTGCTGCCAGAACTCTCATTTACTCTTCACACACAGCAACCTCAGCTGGGTGCTTTTATCACTAAAAACAGGACACATGCATGAAAAGTCAAAACTTTTTTACAGTAGGATCTGTAAAAAAAAAGTATATCCAGTGTCTACCCTATCTAGTCTAGTGTCTTTCAGCAGAGACGTTCTCTTGTAGCAGAGCTGAAAGCAAGCTGGGTCTCCACTACTATATGGGACTAGTGAATTACAGGAACTGTCATTCACTTGCTCAAACAGCTAGAATCCTGAAGGAGGTGGGCCGCTTTCCAAACAGAAGAAAGAGAAGAAGAAGTATTCCAGCATCAAACGTCTTCAAAGACAATGCAACAAAACAATGAGGATTTCACTTAGTACAGTGAGAGCAAGAGTATTCACTCTTCCAATGAAGTCCCATTTAGTTTAATTACAAATGCACAAATGGGAGAATACTTAATCAACATTTTATTTGCAGTTGTATGCCCAGATGTCATGTATTTCACCCATAAAAACGTTCAGTTGGAGCTATCGGGTTTTGATTAGCCACATTCACTCCAAAAACAGTGTACGTCAATATAAGCATATAAGCCAACATTCAATCACAATTTAGGTAATTCAACAAAATGGGATGTCATTGTAAGGGGACCAATGCCTGTGCAAGAGACAGTACATATGAATGGCACCAGTTACTTCAGATCAAAAAAAGATACATCCGCTCCAGAAAACAGACCAAGTGACTTGGCATGACCTGAGGCAGGGAAGCTTTTTCCAAGCAGTGCAGTGTCGCTTGGCCTCCAGAAGCTTAATCTCGAGGGGCCAAAGCAAACACAGTGAGGCATGCAATGACTTATCGCTTGGAAGCTGTGCCGTGAAGGTCAGGCAACGGCTTTCCTTGGAGAGTCAAAGCTCTGAGAAATCTGGCTTATTTTCTCGTACAGATCTTTCTTGGTGTGCCACTAACCACTACACCTACTGCCAATTCCACTGGCTGCACAGAACACGACTGTACTGTAAGAATAGGCCTAAGAAGGTTTTTAGAAGAGGTTAAGAGAGTTTCCCCATTATTCAATGAATCCGATGTACAGTTTAACTTCACCTTCCCCGTATTGGATTTTTCTGTGCAGCTCGTTGGCATTCCCAGCACAAACCCTGCTTAATAAGGTCAATGTAAAACTTCATTTCATAAATGGTGCCTTCAGTCTATCGGCAACAATCACGGCAAAAATCCTTTGAAGTAAGATTTGCATAAAGAGAATATAATTGACCTGCACAACTCAAAAAGCCTGAAATTATCAGCGTGCCGATCGATCCCTTCCTCCTCGCATCCATCCATTTTCTGCTGTTGTCAGGTATTTAATCATGTCAGAGTGGGGGGGGGAAAAACAAGACAGGAGTGCTTCTACCTTTGCAATAACAAAAAAACAACAGTACAGTAGTCCCAGGGTGCTAAACATAGCTGTAAATCACATGACAAAGGGCTTTACAAAATTCCATTAATGTTCCAGTATTCAGGCTTCAACAGGTGTACACCCAGTTACTTATATTACAGGATAACATCTACACTGTCTTCACGGACTGAGTGAAACCAGGATACCCGTTTACAAGGAAATAGGGCAACATAAGGTCTACGTGAAGATAAATGTTCACATAAAAGGGTCTTTTATGGAAAAAACGTCACTTGGGCATTTTAAAACCACTTGGGACTACAAAATGAAAACTTACTGCAGCTCACTAGTATAGCTTAAGAGCTTTTGAGTAAGAAACTAAGCTTCTGACCATTTTCCCACCCGCTGGAAGCAATTTCTCCTAGGAAATCTAGGAAGAGAATACTTACCGTATGGTTCGTCAACTTGCCAGGGGAAGCTTCAGCAGCAGCAAACTTGCCAAACCTCTCAGCATAGGGCCGATCTGAAATTCAACAGCACAACAGGACACAGACTGTTAGACAAATTTGCCGTGTGTGACAGAAATAAATGACAGGGACAATAACATGAATTAATAACGCCATTTTAAAACAGTGGTTAGAGAGCGTTAATGCTGTGGCACACACTGATCTGGAGTTGTACAGCCCCCTTCTACTCTGTGTTTTTGACCTGAATAGAGGTCTCTCGAACACTGCTGGTGCACTGAGCCCCACTGACCGCAGAACACGGCCTCACTGGGACACAAACATTGCCTGATGGCCTGTTTCACCACTGTGGGAAAATTACCTCTTGATTTCGCTTACTTTGGAGATGGTAGCTAGCCTTAAGTGAAAAACCAGTTATATCTCCACAACAGCAACAACACTGACCCAGAGTGAAGGCCAGTTGGATTTTGAAACTGTATGCTTTCTGAATGACCATTACACACACCGACTTAACACAACCCAAACCCCACTGCCCGGACCAAATGTCAAATTTCATCGCACAATTCATTGTAACCACGAACACAAATGATAAGATAAGATCACTTTATTGGCTATATACAATTTCTTGCATGAGGAATTTGTCTTTTCGCATACCCCAACTTGCTCTCCATGAGACACACAGACAGGGAGAGAAGCTTGGGGTCAGAGCACAGGGTCAGCCATTTATATGGTGCCCCTGGAGCAGTTGGGGTTAAGGGCCTTGCTCAGAGACCAAATGGAGTAGGATTTCTCTTCCAGCCGCGGGATATGAACAGGCAACCTTCCAGCCACAGGCGCAGATCCTTAGCCACAGAGCCACCGCACCGCCACAACAGAGGCGACATGTGCCTGAAAACATCCTGCAGGTCTCAGCCAGCTCCTCATGCGGTCAAAACAAACACTCATCCCAAAGGGCATTTCAAGACTCCAGAAAAAACAGCACCTTATAACAGTTCTGTTTATAATACAGAACTGTAATACAGGCCTCATCAGTAGGTGAGGAACAGTGTGTGAGCCACAGTGCTCATGCAACACAACAGCTTTGTTTTCACATGCGTGCTAAATGTCAAATACCCTTGAGCTATTTAGTCCTGCCAGACAAGATGACCAGACTGTGTTACACTATGTGATGTAACACAGTGGTTTTGTATTACTAGGTTTAAGAAATATATTCAGCAATGTCGTATTGTAACTTTTAAAACCTTACACAATCACAGATCACTTTTACCAAGATGTACGCTGGAGTTCAATGTAGTTATACCGTGATCAGTCTGGGCTCAGATAAATTCATTCTGAATTGAGCACTGCTTCTGCACACAGCTGAAATAACATCACTGAAGCAGCTGGATGTTATCTGATCACCTGCTGGCAGAGAGTCAGAGAGCCCTGCAGCGCTAAACAAGAGGCCCATTGCTAGAGTCCATCACTTCCAGAACATAGACCAACACGAAAGTCAAGAAAAGGAAAAGAACTGAGCGTAGCCAGTGTGAATTTCATGATTCCTGAAATCTGAAAAGAAAACCTGTGCATTCAAAACCAAACCTACAATTTTACACAGCACAGAGTTTCTCTTAACCACTGAGAAAAACATGTCTGTAGTAGGTTTTTAAAAACCTGAACTTAAACATCAGCTATTAACATTACGTTTCCAGAACTTAACATATTTTTTAATGTAACCTACTTGGGAATCCAAAAACTGACAATCCTGGCTTGTAGAGTAAAAATCTAGGCGGAGTACACTGTACTCATCAGTCAAGAACATTTTACTTCCGATAGCAGCACAATACTGTGCTTGTTCTAAAGGATTGACAGGGAACATGTAAGCAGAAATTCGACTGTGTCACAAAGTACCAAAATAAATGACAAGAGACTATGGCCGGCCAAGTAAAAAAATGTTTCTGGCTTTTAAAGACGTTCCGTGTAAATACAACAGGGTTTTATTTACTTAAATTCCTGGAAAAAGTAATGTCTCCCAAGACCAGAAGATCCTTCCTGTGACGATGCTGCCTCTCCTGCCTTCTCTGAAAAATAAATCACTATTTTCCAGACTTTCTTCCTGTGGTTATGGAAACCAGGATTGTTTTTTTTTTTTATCACCAGTGGGCTGTAAAGAGCCAAGGTGACTATAAGTGTATGTAAAGGAAAAAGCCAACATGAAGCAGCAAAGGATGAAAGGGAGCTATCAAAACCTCACCCAACTGGTGCCATCCAATACAGCGTCTTAGCTTCAAACTGTGTGACATGATTTCTAAATCCTACCGAGCAAAATATCGCCTTGTTTAGAGAATTTTCTTCAATGCCCAAACCTGCCCGAGTCACTTAATATGCAGACTCCACTCTTGTATCATGCGTATGGAGAGTGCAGCTGCTTGTGTTTTCAAGTCAGCACTGACACATCGTGACCAGCTCTACAATTTGGTGGGTGACAACAGAAGTGAGAATAAGAGACAATGATAATGGCCTTATCCTTTCAACAACAGGCAGTACCTCCAATCTGTATTTTTCTGCACTTTTTTTTAGCTTGGTGCGGTTCTCATCACACGATTCACAGCGACTGGCCAACGATCTACCCACTGTGGACCAATCCCAAACTTGTGCCCAGTAGACCAGCTAAACATCAATATCTTCTGTTTTCGTCCCTTTGTCTTTTTATCGGGAATTTTATTTGCAATAATGCACCACACTGAACATATGCACCCATTAAGAAGGGTTTACAGGAGTAGTTGATGGGAATGTGAAATCATCTAAGCAGAAAGAGCAACAATGAATTAGGCAGAGCATGTAATGAGACATGAAACAAGTAAATTAAATGACAGGAAAAGGGAATGATATAAATTGCCCCTATAACTCCTTAAGATACACAATGGAACTTTGAATGAGAAAAGCATGAATTGAACATAAGCATCGGCAAGTCAGCGCAAGTCTGCCCTCATGAACAGTACCAGTCCTTCAGAAGTGGTAAATGACACATTGGTACTCTCATAATTGTGGGTTCAAAAGGCCAATTCAACAAAAGTGCACATAAGCTGAGCTGGACTTGAGTATGGCCACACAATGACAGCATAATAACTTTCACATACACAGCACATGGCACGCAAGAGAAAAATCAACACCTCAGGCTTATACAATATACATGTCCTGCGTGAGCTAAAGGCATCCCATGCACAGAAATACCTATTTTTCCTTTATCCTTTTTCTTAGAATAGAAACTGGAACAAAAAAGTACGGTGCTTCCTCTTAAATGTATAATTGATGCCCAGCTTTCACATCAGCTCTACAGCAGAGCTCATATGAGAGTGAAGCAGAGTGAAGACGGATGAGTCCCAAGGGAACACGTTCAACTAAGACACTGAAAATGATTTTCAGTTGGCTTTGTCAGGCAAGCTCAGAGGTGGCTGGGAAGAAAGTTAAAAACGAATCAAGTGGAAGGCAAATCACACCTAATACAAACTTCTTATTTGTTGCCAGTTCTTTAGGCCCAGAAATGCTAGACAGGCCAGCTTCACATAAAACTGGAATGCCTCTTGATTAACTTTTTCACAGTTTCAACTCTGGAGAGTAAAGCAACTTGAGCAGGTCTCATGCTTTAACCCACTGCTTATTAAGTTAGTAGCTTTTAGATCACTACAACATTCAAAATTCTATTAATGCCAAGAAAACACTGTCAAAGCTAATTGGATACAAATTAGGAACTAGCTGAGCTATCTAAATGTTCCAAAATGAAGTGTGTTCTGGCTTTTGACTGGGCAGCTGGTGAACTGCGCGTATAGCCTTATGCTAAATGACACATCTACCGTAGCTATTACACTATAGATGTCTGTTATCAATGTCAAATGATACAGATGGAATTCACACAGAAGAAGGTAGTGATATAGGCTGAAGTTTCCTCTCTTACACCTTACACTTTCTGTAATGTTTGCCTGAATAGCTCTTGACTGCCATTTCTCCTTGTCATGCTGAACCACAGCAGAGATATTAAATTCAATTTCAAAATTACCTCTCACAGCTGTTAAGAGGGAATTCAAGAAACTGCCAACTTCTGAAAAAAGTGTGCTGTGGAAGAAATAAAGCATTTGTGATTTGGAACAGGCATTTTTTTTTATCCGACTCAATTTAACATCATCATTTGTTAATCCACCCAGTTCTCTGTTGCAGTCCTCCTATAATGCTTACAGTACTAGCACGCACTGGAGATGGGGGTACGCATGCTCTCCAATGTCAGAATCATTCTCCACCATTTACTCCATGAGTATCCAAGTGGCTGTACAGGACATCAGCTGGAGAAGAGCTGGAGCTGTCCCGGACAGGACCCAAAGCTCAAAGACAGTTCTGCAGGTCCCCAACTCTGCAGAGCCACAGTGACCCCTGAACTCACCCCCACTAACTCAAACCTCAGAGGGACTCAATCAACTGGACAAATCTGTGTGGGAAATTCCAGCCACACATCCCCAGTTAAATCTGTGGTTTAAGGTAAAAAAAAAACTCCTGAAGTGCTTGTCTGTCTATGCAAATGTGCTGAAAATAAGCCAGAACGTCAGGCTCACATACAAGAGTCTAAAATGCCCAATGCTTTCCGTGCAAATGGGAGTCTTGCCCCTGAAGTGTGCTGGGAGGGCAGGCGGGCTGGTGTCAGACTGAGCTGCTCTGTGGTGAGGGAGTAGGGATGGAGAAATTAAACAATCCCCCAGGCTCGTACCATCATGGTCAGTCATCAGAAACCCTTTCTCCTCACCACAAACCAATGATACAGGGGATATCAAGAAAAATGAGCAAAGGAAAACTGCACAGCAAGCCACAGCACAACAAATTACACAGCTCACCCTTTAAAGTATGGTGCTAATCCAACACAGACCATAAATAAGAATTATATTGGAGCACATTTTCTATTTTTCTCACTGTGTGACTCGAGCATTATTCCATTTAGATTTTATTTGCATATAATTTACATTAATACACGTATGCAAACAAAACAGCGCATGCTGAAAATGTTGTGAATTAGATCAATTCTGCATACATACAT